GTCTAATCTCTGGACGGGTCTTATTTTAACTAGAGATGTGAGGATGGTGCAGTCTAATCTCTGGACGGGTCTAATTTTAACTCTTTAAAGATGTGAGGATGGTGCAGTCTAATCTCTGGACGGGTCTTATTTTAACTAGAGATGTGAGGATGGTGCAGTCTAATCTCTGGACGGGTCTAATTTTAACTCTTTAAAGATGTGAGGATGGTGCAGTCTAATCTCTGGACGGGTCTTATTTTAACTCTTTAAAGATGTGAGGATGGTGCAGTCTAATCTCTGGACGGGTCTAATTTTAACTCTTTAAAGATGTGAGGATGGTGCAGTCTAATCTCTGGACGGGTCTTATTTTAACTCTTTAAAGATGTGAGGATGGTGTGGTCTGATCTCTGGTCAGGTCTAATTTTAACTCTTTAAAGATGTGAGGATGGTGCAGTCTAATCTCTGGATGGGTTTAATTTTAACTCTAGAGATGTGAGGATGGTGCTTCCTAATCTCTGGACGGGTTTAATTTTAACTCTAGAGATGTGAGGATGGTGCTGTCTAATCTCTGGACAAGTCTTATGTTAACTAGAGATGTGAGGATGGTGCGGTCTAATCTCTGGACAGATCTAAATTTAGCTCTGTATAAATGTAAAACTAAGCATTTTAAAACCACCTTTGTTTGCCATCAGCTTTTTTAATTCAATTTAGTTTAAAATTAATTACTGTTTTAGCCTCGCATGACTTATCAAACTTTGATCTCATTTAATGTGTTTTATTTTTTGTTTTACTGGGTTTTACATGTTGATTTTATTGTATCTTTTTATTCTGATATTGTTTTTAAAGTTGTATTTATTTTTACCTAGAGCACCTGGTCACTTTTTAATCACGTCGTGTSTTTTGGAACGAAGCTGACTGACTTCACTGTAATCTTAATTACTTGCAGGTACAAATAAAGCTGATTGGTTGATTGATGCTTCAGTGTTGGAGCTCTTTAAGCTGCTGGAGGAAAAGGATTGTCCTCTCWGAGTCATTAGCAGGAACCGATGTGAGCTGCTGAAACAATCACGTTTTGTTCAGCAGGACTGGCTGAGGCCTGACTCGTTAGGACTTAATGAACCTGGTCTCAGATCAAACAGACGGGACGGAGCAGGAGCTTCCCTCTGAACCACCAGGCCTCGTTAGCTTCAGGTCCACAGTTAACCTCTCAACATCACCGACACATTTGTGCATGTTGTCATGTTCAGCTGAGAAAACAGAAGCTGAAGTGTGGAGGTTTAATGTTAGCTGATGTGTTTCACAGATTTGTTGGGTTTTAAACCTGATTTTAAAACTATTATTTAGCCTAGCTTTTAGCCTAGSCTGGATGAARACTTTTGCCTTTTTGTCTGAACTGACTGACGTTGCAGCTGAGTCATCTGCTGCTCAGCAGAACCTGGGTTCAGACGTGTTGTTCTGCAGCAGCTGATTGATCTGCTGACGCTCAGAACTCGTCTCAGCGCAGAGACAACATGTAGAAATAATCAGGACTCAGAAACATCAGCAGAAAAATAAAAACCTGCTGACGACACAAATGATTTCAGAGAACAGCAGCAGGAACGTATGACTCAGCGCTTCTCATCATTTATGATTAACAGTTAATTTGGGAGAGTGGCTGTGTGTGTGTGTGTGTGTGTGTGTGTGTGTGTGTGTGTGTGTGTGCGTGCGCAGCTGTACTTGTGGGGACAGTGGCAGTCTGAGTGCTTTCTGAGGACGCTGCACATTTTGGTTGGACAGGAAGTGAGGACATTCGTTTCTGAACAGGAGATAAAAACGTTTTTTGGGGTTTTGGGTTGGTTCTTGTCTCCTGGACCCAGTTTGACTCAGTGGAACCTCTTGTTGTTTATTAGAACCAGTCTAGAACCTGATAAAGAACCTTATCAGTTTTATTGTCTCTGTCCGTCCCCCCAGCCTCGGGAGACTCAGGACTTCCTGATAAGAGGAACTTGTGATACGACTCTTTTCTTTTGGCAGCTGATAAGAACAGCACAGCCTGGATCATTGTTCTCCATTAATTAGCCTGTCCCCTCAGCAGCCTTTGAAGTCATGTGACTTCTGTCACTTCCTCTTTTATTCAGTTTCATCTGATTTATTTGAAACCATTAAATTAGAATAAAAAACAGCTTCAGTATAAAGTTTTCTGTTTTGTTTTTTTACACTTTTTAGTGAAATCACACAAATATACAAACTCAGCAGAAGGCAATGGCAATGATATAAAAACTGACACAGGCTATTACATGATTCATCATCACATTACATCATTGAACTCAGCAAAAATRACAAATAAAAACAAGGCAATGGCAAATGGTGTCCAAGAATGGGCCCTGACTTCACCCTGGACATCGCTGCATCAAGGCAACAATCTTCAGTGAGAAAACAAACCGTTTCAGGCAGAGATGAGTGGCGGCGCTGCAGGAAGTGGATCAGAGGCTTCYAGTGTGTCGGAACGATTCAGCTAATTTACCTGGTCGCATTTTGGAAAACTGTTCTGAAGGTGACGCAGCAGCTTCTCCAGGCTCCTTCTGGAGTTTCTCATACAAGAATACAAGGTACCTGAGTGAAAACAGCCAATCAGAGCCTGCAGGAGCCGCCGGCCCCGCCCACTTTACAGTTACCATGGTAACAGAGAGAGGGAGGGGCATACAACAATCCCGCCTCCCTCTTAAAGTGACCACGCTCTGCTTTAAGGCCAGCATGCAGCACGTTTACAAGCTAAGAACACGTTTTCACGCCAACAACACGTTTACACGCTAAGAACACGTTTACACAACGAAACGATGAGAAGCAACCCAACTCTGCGAACAGAAACACAGCAGGTTCGGATGTAAGAGACGAATCGTTTTAGAACGAGATTTGCAGTTTGAAGCCTCCTGATCCAACAGGCCACGCCCCTGAAGCGCCGCCTGGCTGGACCACCCTGTCCTGAACTAAGACACAAGATCCAGAMGGGCCTCACAGCCGGAGGGTCAGAACCACAACCAGCACATGTTTACACAGCAAGTTCAAGATCCAGAAAGTTCTGACTGGATCCAAGCTCCAGCTGAGAGGTACCGCCTGAGATAAAAAAATAAATAAATAAAAAATAATAATTAGAATAGTAAGATTCATATTATCATACAATAAAAACTTCCCCGCCCAGAGTCCAGTGACCTGCTGCTGCTAGGATACAGACCCCCACTGTCACTGTCAGCACAACCAATCAGCAATCAGAAGCTTGCTGGAGTGGGAGGGGCCTACTTAAGTCCATCCCATTCCAATTAAACAGGAAATCAGTTCAAGTGTAAAAGTTTAATRTTTCTTTTTCTGTCGTTTCTGAACAAAAAACAATTAGATTTGAATAAAATAAGTTTGTTTGAAGATTAATAACCAACAAGCTTCTGAAGGTTGGTGTCTCCCAGCCGGGACATGGCTATGACGTGATGAAATGTGTGTAGCTGAGCACTTTCTTCTCATATTTGCTGTACAAACTAAGAAATCTGTGTACATCCTCCCACAATAAATAGAATCCATCAAAAAAATAAATTAACAAAAATAATAAATATCCCACCTGAACAAAATGTTCAAAAGTCTGTTTGTCTGTGTGTCCCATCAGTCCAAACCCTGGATGCTTTGTCCTAATGTTCCAGGAATTAGTCCACAGTTTTCCCTAATGTTCCAGGAATTAGTCCACAGTTTTCCCTAATGTTCCAGGAATTAGTCCACAGTTTTCCCTAATGTTCCAGGAACTAGACTGTGGTTTCCCAGCAGTTTCTTCAGTCTCTGTCGCTTCCTTCAAGTTTAGCAACCAGAGGATGGATGTGATGTTTCTGCTGCCGCGGAAACCTGATACCTGATCCTATAATCTGACAACTGATCCAATAATCTGATACCTGATCCAATAATCTGATACCTGATCCAATAATCTGATACCTGATCCAATAATCTGATACCTGATCCTATAATCTGACAACTGGTCCAATAATCTGATACCTGATCCAATAATCTGATACCTGATCCTATAATCTGACAACTGGTCCAATAATCTGATATCTGATGCAATAATCTGATATCTGATGCAATAATCTAATAACTGATCCAATAATCTGATAACTGGTCCAATAATCTGACAACTGGTCCAATAATCTGATACCTGATCCAATAATCTGATAACTGGTCCAATAATCTGATACCTGATCCAATAATCTGATACCTGATCCAATAATCTGATAACTGGTCCAATAATCTGATAACTGGTCCAATAATCTGATAACTGATCCAATAATCTGATAACTGATCCAATAGTCTGATAACTGGTCCAATAATCTGACAACTGGTCCAATAATCTGATAACTGATCCAATAATCTGACAACTGGTCCAATAATCTGATAACTGATTCTATAATCTGACAACTGGTCCAATAATCTGATAACTGATCCAATAATCTGATAACTGATCCAATAATCTGATAACTGGTCCAATAATCTGATAACTGATCCAATAATCTGATAACTGATCCAATAATCTGATAACTGGTCCAATAATCTGATAACTGATCCAATAATCTGATATCTGATGCAATAATCTGATAACTGATCCAATAATCTGACTACTGATCCAATAATCTGATAACTGATCCAATAATCTGATACCTGATCCAATAATCTGACTACTGATCCAATAATCTGACAACTGATCCAATAATCTGACTACTGATCCAATAATCTGATAACTGATCCAATAATCTGATACCTGATCCAATAATCTGACAACTGATCCAATAATCTGACAACTGATCCAATAATCTGATTTGATAATCTGATACTGAAAGTTATTTGAGTTTACTTTGATCAGCTGCCTGGGCATCACTTTATGTTTACTATTGGGG